TGATCCAGCTCAGACACAAAAACTGCCCTCAGTGTTTTAATCGCCTACCTTCTTTGCTTGGGATGAAATCTGCATGTACCGAGTCTGCATCAACATTCACTCTTGTATTTGTGCTTTTTGTCCTGTAGGAGGCAGTGTGGTTCCTGTCCAACATCACAGCAGGTAACCAGCAGCAGGTGCAGGCCGTCATTGATGCCAAGCTAGTTCCCATGATCATTCACCTGCTCGACAAGGTTTGTATCCATTTCACGTGAATCATGTAGAATAATTTATGGACGACAGGTAAAATATGTATTGCTTACACTGAATGCATATATTTTAGGGTGACTTTGGCACTCAGAAGGAAGCAGCCTGGGCCATCAGTAACCTGACAATAAGTGGAAGGAAAGATCAGGTAAAAATCTTAAGTTTTTTCTTGTAAATACTAACGCACTGTGTTGTTGCAGACTTTTTTTTACCCATCCTGTTCTTCAAATGTATGGAAAAAATGTGAAAAGACATTGGGACATTGCAGTGGTGAAGAATTCTTACTGTTGACCATTTTTGACATTAATCTTATTTACTGGCAACAAAAATACTTGAATGCAACCTCCATTTTTGTTTTTATGTCTCCTTTATTAAACCAAAAAAAAAAAAAGGCTGATTGAGATTCACACAGTATTTTATAAGACCGTCCAGGCCATGACGGGCAGTAGCACAATTTACAGACGTGCACACATTTTTATGAGGTTTACATAAAGATTAAGAGTGCATTACAGTATGTTAACATGGCAAAGGTCACAAGTCATCGTCAGTGATGATACAGTACCAATGAGAGTCAGTCATTACATGTACATTTAAATGCATCTCCAAGGTAACATAAAGTTGATTTAAATTCATTTTTTGAGATTTTCCTTATTCCAAACCAAAGGAGCAGCATACTGGAACACGCTTTTCCCAATTCAGTACGGCTCTGGGACCCGATTGCAGGATTAAGTCTTGGTAGCAAAGACAGTCGCCTCCCGTAATGTTTTGATAGACATAAGTCCATAAATTCACAGGATGCAGACCAGGAATAGCTATATAAGTAAGGACAAGCCAAAGACTCAGTTTATGGGTTGAAAAGGCCCTCGATGAAGTGTTCCTTTCTTTTCTGTCAAATGTACAATAGGGATCAACTGATTATCAGCCTGACCAGAACCAAATAGCCGACTATTTGTTTGCTGTGCTGGAATCGGGATATCAATTTTGACCCAGTCAGTCTGAATACTCAACGCCACACTTAGCCACACTATCTTGAAAAAAAATAATTCTTTGAGATATGGGTCTTAGTGAACAGCAAAAGGTAAAGAACAGGGGAAGATGAACAAAACAGAAGAACTGCAGGAGACAAATGTAATCAATCCTAGCATCAGATGACACTCTGATGCGATCACTTTATATTGTGTATATTCAGTCATAGTAATCCTTACAACTGCCAAAGGGACTACCGATGAAAACTAGCTTAATTTGGCTAACTCGGGCACGTTTACATTGTAAAATGTTGATTAATGTGCATTGTCCTGTGTCAAATAAATAAACGAGTCTGGTTATGAACGATGGGCTATATGCTTAACATTTAATTTCTATTGGTTATCTGTCTTTCTTGATTACCAACAATCGACATCAGTATTGGCCGTAAAAAAAAAAAAACACATCAACCCCTAATATACCGTACGTCATTGTCTTACAGGTGGCACACCTCATTGAGAAGCAGGTGATTCCTCCATTCTGCAACCTGCTGACAGTGAAGGATGCTCAAGTCGTGCAGGTTGTCCTCGACGGCCTGAGCAATATCCTCAAGATGGCCGACGACGAAGCTGAAACTATTGCTAATCTGATTGAAGAATGTGGAGGTAGGCTTGCCGTCAAGATTGTATTGTGTTCTTGTTTTTAGCTCGTTAGCGTCAGGTGTTAACGTGTGATCGAATTTGGTCTTTCTGTCCCGCAGGTTTGGAAAAAGTGGAGCAACTGCAGAATCATGAAAACGAAGATATCTACAAATTGGCATACGAAATTATTGATCAATTCTTCTCATCTGATGATGTAAGTTACACTTGTATGTTGCATGTATTTAGGATTTAGCTATGTTTTATTTCATTTGTTTATTATTTAGGTTTAAAAGCAAAGTAATGGTCAACTAGTGCAATTTGCTAGTTAGAAACTTAGCAGATATCACATTTCACTTTAGTCTTTACATAAAGTATCATCACACTGGACAAATCACAAATATGTGCAGTATAGTAATTATCGAAATACAGTCGTAGTTTGACATCACTTTTGGATGTCTCTGTTGGAGAGGTTTAGTCAGCCGCCCCATACGTTCACCCACTTACTATAAGAAGTCAGTCACTGGGGCTCACATTTTTCTTTACAATGGGTGGCTCATGATGTATTGGACACCGTCAGTGTTTAATCTACTGCCTTGTCTGCTGCACCCCGTTAACGCTCAGCTATGTTGCCTGTCATTCAGATTGATGAAGACACCAGCCTGGTCCCAGAAGCCATCCAGGGTGGAACTTACAGCTTTAACTCAGCCAACGTGCCAGCCGAGGGATTCCAGTTCTAGACGGCATCTGGGGTATTCTGGAGTTTTGTTCACGATGCAGCACTCTGTTCAACATAAAAAAATTAGGAGAGAAAGAGCGAGAGAGAGCGAGTGTGAGAAATTTGATCCATTGTGCTTGGCTCGTGGGATCCATGGCTGCATCTTATCTGAGAGAAAAATATGTGGATTTCATTTGGCATTCCAGGGGAACCAGCCCAAATGAAGTTTGAGATGGCGAGTGGGTGCGAGTGAGAATGAGTGGCTACATGTTGCAAAAAAGCAAAACATCTACATCGAATGCGTTGAGAGACATGCCGACATAACTTCTGTGTTATTGGAGCTGTCGTCTTCGGAAAACTACTTCAAATGACAACAAAAACTCGATGTCTGCCCAGGGAGAACCATGGACATTCAAAAATAAGAAATCAAGAGATCTTGAAATATTACAATACAGCAAAATGCAGAAATGAATATAACTCTGATTCTGAACTGAGATGAACCACGAACCATCACAATTCTGCGGTCCTCCGACTAGAGAGGGCGCCACCCTCAAAGTGCCCCTCCCCCAATCGGCCACGCTATCAGACATGAGTGTGAATGGACCCATTGTGTATGAATGTCTGGACTCAGTGCTGAGGAGCCAGGTTCATCTCCTCCAACGAGACGCCCCGACGTGGGCACCATCCTCTCCCCCTGGTGGGCGGGGCCAGGAGTCCGGCTGCGCGTGTCGCATGTGCGAGAGAATGGACGGATGAGTTGTGTGTGCTTGGCTGCGTGCGTGACTGGGAGTGTGCAAGGCTGGGTGAGAACGCATGCAGAGACGGGAAAAAGATACAAATACAACATCTGAAGAGAAACAAAATTGAGAAACGCAACAATGAGGCTAGCAAAGGTTTCAGGAAAGAAATTCTGCCTTTGAAAGAGGCTGATCCTGAAATCCCTGAAAGGAAGAACTTTGGATATGGGAAAAAAAAAATCATTGTCATCACAAGGATTATTTTTTTTGTTTTGAATTATTTAGTATTAATTGACACTGGACAATGTTAATGGCAGGTGTGGAGCAGCGGTGCATTGTATTATGATGCATTTGGTGGCTTTGGGCTTTTCTTTTTGCCTCCAGTGTGTTCCTTTTTTATAATTTTTTTTCCATTTTTTTTTCTTTCTTTTCTTTTTCTTTTTTTTTTTTTTTAAATTTCAGCTTTTAGTTACATTGCTTCTGTAAAGGTGATTGATGATGAGCGTATTCCATCCTCACACCACAACCCTAACCTACACACCAGACATGGGCTTGATGCTGTGAAATTCTTACACCATCACTATAATCAACCAAATGACCTGTTCCCCTTGTAACTCTTCATTATTTTTTTCTTCAATTTACAGCAAAATCACTGCTTTGCAGTATTGTTGCCATAGCTTTGATTATCACCAGGGGAGATGAGAACGATGGCCATTTCACGTAGGATTGTGAATCATAACCTTTGCATGTACTAAACTATAGCACAGTTATTTTTAGGGTATTTTAGTTTCCTTAGGCTGTGGATACAGTGTAATTTTCATTTTAAGTAAAACTGTGCTTAAATGTTACATGTTCCCCCTTCCCTTACTCCTCACTAGTGTCTGATTTGCTAAATAATCTGTATGGTTTTGCACATGTACTGCAAAGTGAGGCCTGAAGTCTTTTCTGAAGGTGTGTTGGTGGGTTTCATAGGTTTCGACCTGCCAGCAACCTCTACAATATGCATCACTCCACCACAATCTTTGTTGTCTTTCTAGAGTAATCCAATGATGCTTTTTAGTGATACTTGAGAAAATAATGACTTTATTTCAGGAGCAGCAGTAATGAATCTGCTAATGTATCTCAGCTAGACTAAGAGAGGATTTAACCTCCTTTTTCTCAAGGTCAAAGGGTGTCCCACACGTCAGACTGGAGTTGTTCTAAGTGGGTTTTCCTGAATAATAAATAAACCCATGGACAAGTTTGCTGTAATTTTAGTACCTTGCAGAGTCCTCAGCCCTGTACCCCTTTTTCCTCTTCTACCAGCTAGGTGTACAAGCTTACCCTCTTTCATTTTTTGTGTTAACTTCAAACACTGTAGTAATGATTACACATTGTGCTCATAAACCTTCTGTTGACATAGGGGTATTTCTTTTTTTTTTTTTTTTTTTTTTTTTTTGCAGCATTCCTTGTTAGCAAACGTGGTTTCAAATCTAAAATTATGACCTGGAAGGAAATAAAAATAAAAGGTGGTTTTCCCAAAAACCTTTTTTTGGGAGATAGGCTACAGAATAGGTTGTCTTCGAGAAAATAAATAGTGAAACCCAAACCGAGAGACTGTGTGTGTGTGTGTGCTCTGTTGTGAAAAAGTGGTGTGATTAATCCTTTGTGTCTATTTGCTTGATTTTCCTGTTTTTTTTTTCTGTAAAATGGCGAAACGCCTCCGTTTCCGGCAACGGTTGAGCTTGTGTTCAAATCCAGAAAGTGGAACCTGATTGGTCAGGATGACCGTTTGTCCGCATGCGTGGTACGGAAAATGAAAATGGTGCATTTGGATACAGTCGGAAAAATAGCACTTCATGACAGACACGTAAAACAAAAGACGGTATATGAAACTTAAATATGTCGTCAATGCGTAGCACATACAAACGAGTCAAAACCCTCATGTTTTTAAATAATCAAATTCTAGAGCGAAAATATTTCGTAGTTAAACATAAAACGTGCGCACTGACGTTAATTTTCGTACAGAAGTGGTGCTTTACACAATAACGCCTGAAAACACGACATGTCGGTATTTTTAGCGTATTTTCTACACAAGCAAGCACTTTCAAAAGCTACTACGTTCCCGTGTTTCAACCTGCTGCCTCTTTTAGATTCTGTACTTTACTGAGTGCACCTGAAGGCGGCACGACAAGGAACAGGAAATAAAGGCTCTGTTATGGACAGACGCTTTTGCTCCGAGCAGACGGTGAGTGTTTGGCTCAAGATTTATCTCCTGAAACGCATTTTCAAATCGTTTTTCAAGACTGAAACGAATAGATGGTACAATAAATGGTACACAGGTTACGGGAGAACTAGTAGTTTAGCGCTGTTGCGTGGCTAGCGTTGCATTTTTATTTTATTTTAATTTTTTTTTAACGTTTGGGAGTGTCAGCTAAAAGTAGATAAAAAGTTTGTTTCGACATTTTGTAGTTGAAGTGTCGCCGAAATTGCCCTCACTTAACGCACAAAGTTTATTTGCTTATTGGCATGCTACACAAAACTGACGAACTTCTTTGCGTTTTTGTTTTTATTTGGGTTTTTTTTAGGGAGAATATAACTCATGCTTACACACTGTTGACCTCTCCAGCTAACGACGCAACAATAACGCAAGTTAACCGGTCAAGGTTGAAAGAGAAAGGCGTCCCTTTTGAATGTGCCATTGTGTGTGTGTATATATAGATGTGGTTAAATGTAGTCGGGCCGCAGCTGCACACCTGTTACCTGTTTGAATCTGGGCGCCAACGCGGCTGCAGTTTGACTCCACACGTGGATCAGGTTTTTGGGGACGGTTGCGCAGCTGAACAGTCTGTCCCAACAATAAACTGTGTTTGTGTGTGTTGGCATAAGGCCTCCCATTGTCGCTGCCTGTAACTAGAGGAGAGAGCTCACAAATACACACATACACACACAAATACAATACAACACAACTGATCCGGTAATAGGAGCTGAGCCGGGGTTTTGGCTGTTCTCTTGTTTTTCAGTGCTGATCTGCTCTTTCACAGTTAGGCTTGAATGTACTCTTGTTTATTGAGAGATAAGCACTATTTATACAATCAGCTCTCTTAAACAGCTCATCTAATGCAATCCGTGGAGTCTGCTTTTATATATAGTCTGTGTCCAAACTGTCAGAGGTGATAATTCAGTTGTATTTTTAGCATTGAGGTGATAACATGAGGGCACATTACTGTCTTGAAAATGACACAGCTGAAGCTTATTTTTTTATTGATTACACTCATGGTTGCAGCGAGAAAAAAAGCCTTAATTGATAAACCTGTTGAATGTTGGCAGTCTCATATAGTTTAAAGGGTTTGAGGAACTATTTCTGCCAGATATTGCAATTTGTCCTCATTTTCTAAAGTCACCAGTTCAATATTCTCTGTGTAATAGGTTTAAAATATGTGAAGAAACATGAACACAAGATGCCATCATAAGCTGTCACAGGACGGCGTACATTTGTTTAAACCCTGGGTCAGACACCAAATGTTCCACTTGTGGCTATGAAATAAGAGTCTGGCTTGATGTCAGTTGAACCATGAAAAGCAGCATTTACTGTTGTTATTTAAGATCCACACCTTGTATATCCTAAGCTGTCCCTGTTGTGATTCGGTGATTGCATTGTTTGAAATTGCAATTTTTGAGTTTTAAAATGACCTGTTTTCTCTTCTGTTTCTTTAAGTAGTTCCGCTTTACAGTTGTATCAAGTTAATGTGTTTTGCTTAACAGGTGCAACACGTAGCTTTTCATCCATCCTGCTGTCCTGCCAGATCTTGTTTCCCCCCTCAAACCCTCAGTCCTGAGCCTGAGTTTCTAGTCTCCATCATGGACAACCTGGAGGAGGACCTGACGTGCTCTGTGTGCTACTCTCTGTTCTCGGACCCGCGAATCCTGCCGTGTTCACACACCTTCTGCAAGAGCTGCCTGGACAACTTGCTCCAGGTGTCGACCAACTATTCCATCTGGCGTCCGCTTCGCCTGCCGCTAAAATGCCCCAACTGTCGCAGTGTGGTGGAGCTGCCCCCGACGGGCGTGGACGGTCTGCCCTCCAACGTGTCCCTGAGGGCCATCATCGAGAAAGTAGGAGAAAATCTGTTGTATTTCCATGAAACGTTCAGCCTGTGACTGCCTGTGAGTTTAAAGCGCTCTCACTGGGCAGTGCTGTGCTGCTTCGGTTTGTGCTCATGCCTCTTTGTGTGTCTCAGTACCAGAGGGACAGTGAGCCGCGACCCCCGTCCTGCCCGGTGCACCACAAGCAGTCCTTAAACATTTACTGTATCCAGGACCGGCAGCTGATCTGTGGGCTGTGTCTGACTGTTGGGGAGCACCAGGGCCATCCCATAGATGACCTGCAGGCAGCTTTCATCAGAGAAAAACAGACTCCATCGCTGCTGCTGGCCAGACTCTCTGAGCAGAGACAGGCACAGGTAGGGAGTCCTCTCAGCACGGCCGGCATTAGAGTCAAATTCAGCCAGATACATGAAACTAAATGCATCTGCTTCTCTCTCTCTGTGAGGTGTGTGAGGTCGGGGAGCAGCTAGAGCAGGAGAAGGCCCGCTGTGAGGGTCTGGTGAGGCAGGACCGGCAGGAAGTCAATCAGTTTTTTAAGGCGCTGGAGGCGACGCTGGCCAAGAAGAGACAAGCTTACCTGGAGGCTCTCGATAAAGCTGGTGCAGAGGTGTCACAGGCCTACGACCCGCTCATCCACAGAGTGAAGGAGCTACAGGTGTGTAGATACTGAAGCATGACCAGGTAGCCACAGGAGGTTATGCATTTTTTACTTAAGATATTTTAATTAGTTTGGTACATTTAACTGCAGTTGCAATATTTATGTCTTTTACGTTGGGATATTAAAAACTTTATTTATATAGCACCATTAAAAAAAACGAGTTTACGAAGTGCTTTACAGACAAGGCAAAAAAAAAACAACAAAACATTATTGAACAACAGAAAACCAGTCAGTCCAAACACAAAGGAAAAAGTCCACAGAAGCAAAAGTGGAGAAAAGAGTTAAACAGTTAAA